TCTCTGGGGAGAGGTGACTGCCAAGAGAAAAGAGCTAGAAGACGGGATGGGGGTTGAGAGTTATTAGAGAATAGCAGTTGAGTAATGAGAACAAACAAACTCATGCGGCAAGCTTTCCGTAAGAAGCAGATATCCCGCGGGGCTGATATATCGGTTGAAGCGACTTGAGGTCTCTCCGACTCGGCTTAATGTAGCGAATTACATCAGGATGGGAATTGACAAGCTAACCGTTTCCCCAAACTGGCCACTGCAGTCAAGCCTCGGACGCTTGTCCCCGAATGCCACCTCTCGAGGGGAAAACCCCTGCGCAATGATTAGTTTGGGGTCCATTAAAGCTCCTGAAAATGGATGGACAACACATCTTGAGACACTCGAAGTCAGCCACCTTCCTCTTTAGATCGATCCCGGTGTTCTGGAACTATGAAAAACTCTTGGCCAATGCGAAGTCGACTCCAGGAGGCTATTATACAGTACTGCTCTGCTGGAGACACGACCACGAGATCTCATTCGAGAAGGCTGCAAAGATGTCTCCATTGGTCCACACAGATGATACTGGATCTTCTCGGTCACATTAAATACACCCCGAGATCGTGGAAAGGAGGCAGTGATCTGCACCAGTCCAAATCAGAAGGATCAGCATGTGAAACAGCACAGCACGCTGTACGACAAGCACTCATATGCAACACAGACTGAGGGAAAGCAACCACGAAGATGAGTTTTCAGTTGAAAGGTTCATGATTCGAGATTCCCGAGTAAGTTCGCGTTGCCAAGAGTCTTGCTGCGCCACTGTAGAACCGATTCAAATTTTGCTCCTCCAACGATAACAAATCACATAGTGGTGGCTTGCGATGGGAAACGGAAGCGGATGCGGGTTGCTCTCTTTCAGGTCTTATCAGGACCATTCTCGAATCGGGGAAGCGTGACAGAAGGCAAAACGAAATAATCGCAGGGGTACTCGGATAGAAGAGGCAACCTTCTGGAAGGAATTTCTTCCTTCTATGCAGCAGGATGACTGCAGATGAGTCCTGGGAAACGGGAAGAGCCAGGATTTGTGGTTGGATGTGGCAAGCGGGAAACAACGCGACAGGCTGGACAGCGCCACTAGATGTCAGCCAAGATGTGTGGAGGCACAACTTAATACGTGGTGGCACAACTTGAGCCGAGGGACGCCTCCATCGTACGAAGGTAGACAGCGTGGATGGTCCAGTTCAGTCCTCCGCCCCAGATGCAGCATGTTGGACGGTTTTCATAACGTACCAACTAACAGATCCCACGACGACAGTGTCTGGTGTTGCAGATGCTTAACCTTACAGTACCAGGCCCCTGAGGTGATTCCCACGAGTTAACCGCAATATTGCGACCCTTGGCGGAGCTCCGCGTCTATGGAAGACCTTTAGGAACTGGTGGAAGGAGGAACTTGATGACAGTGAGGTTGACGTACTAGGCTCGCGGCTACACTGCGTATCTCTAGATTCTCTAGAAGCCCCATCTGCATCGCGACTGGACAGGGTTCTCCAGGGTCCCTAACGCACCAGGTCGCATGTTTTACCCACTGTTCCTGCGCTCTGGCGAATACACAAATCACAGTGCGCCACTCGCCCTCCGGGCCTACACTAGAATAAGATTGCTCCAGTGAAAAGTACCGAATCAGATCACCGCCGGCCCGACTGGAGCTGGTTCCGCTCAGTCAGAACCTTACTAGATGTTCTAGCTCAGCTAGCTGAGCTTCCAGAAGAATTCGCCATTCGACTGATCCTCCAGGCCGAGCCAGAACGCCGAGGCTTACCGCACCAGATACCACGATGTCTTCCTGGTGGATGCAAACAAGACATCCCCTGATCGGCGGATCATAAGCCACATGGCGGGGGGGAACTAACGCCGCAAAACGCTCTCCACGCTATTCCCTTCGTCGTGCATCAAATGTGACCGGACCCTGCTTTTTTACCCGGCTACGTTCGGGTGAAATGAGAAGCCATTCCGCGCTGGCTGTGGGATGGTAATTTGATTTGTTCGCTTCAGTCTGCCTCAAGGGGCGACGACGCCTCGATCCAGCCAGATTCCCAGTTGGGGGCCAGCATGACGACGGGCGCTACCTTATCTGTGGATCTACCAAACATGAGACTACCGGCAGACCTGCATCAGCATGGGGTTGGCCACTCCAAGGCGCAAGGATCCAAGGAAGCTTGCTGGGGCTTGGGAAAGGCTTGCTTGCCTTGAAGGGTTAGGTTCAGTTTCGGCGGTCGGGCATGCCGTGCGAGAAGGCTCGAATCGCTTCATGGCTTATATCAAACTTCCAGAGCAAGGGCCAGTAAATTGTCCCTCACATATTTGAGAACCATCCATGCTTATATGCGTCTGCTGTGGCCTGTCAAGAGAGGTAGCCAAGACCCCACTAGAGAGATAGAGGGAGGTGTGTAGCACAGTCGCCTGGTCGACTCGAAAGTACTTAACCTGTCACATATCCCCTCTTCACACAAGCATCAGCCCCGTGTCTGTCAACTCAATCACAACCTCTCACCACAAGCGTGTAGAGACAGTTTCCTTCTTTGTATATTTTCCATCGATCCAGAAAACCGTCTCCCAAGATGGGGATTAGCGAGAAAGAAAAGTATGGCTCCGATGTCGAGGCTGCGTCCGGCTCCGCCTTCGACTCGTCTGCCGATATCGAGGTTGGAGGGGGTCAACTGAAGAGAAACCTCAAGGGAAGACATATGCAGATGATTGCCATCGGTGGTTCAATCGGTGCTGGTCTCTTCGTGGGTTCTGGTAGCGCTCTCAACTCTGGTGGACCTGCCTCGTTGATAATTGACTTCATCATCATCGGTTTCATGCTTCTGCTCACAGTCAATGCTCTTGGAGAGCTTGCTGGTAAGTCTTCCACCCTTCGTAATCTGTTGTTGGTGTATCTAACGCCTTGCAGCTCTCTACCCTGTCGCTGGTTCCTTCTATAACTACTCAGTCCGATTTATTGACCCTGCATGGGGGTTTGCTATGGGCTGGAACTACGCAATGAACTGGTTGGTTGTATTGCCTTTCGAATTGACCACTGCTGGTATCACTATCGCTTTCTGGACCGACCCACAAAACACTGGAACCACTTCTATCAATGTCGGTGTTTGGATCACCATTTTCTTGGTCCTAATTTGCGCCATCAACTTTTTCGGTGTCAAGGGATATGGAGAAGTAGAATTCGTCCTTGGTTGCATCAAGGTCGTTGCTATCATTGGTTTCATCATCCTTGGTGTAGTTATTGACTGCGGAGGAGTTCCAACGGACACCAGAGGTTATATTGGCGCCCACTACTGGCACGAGCCAGGTGCATTCCGTAACGGTTTCAAGGGATTCTGCTCCGTGTTTGTCACTGCTTCATTTGCTTTCGGCGGTACTGAGCTTGTTGGTCTTGCAGCTGCTGAGGCCGCCAACCCAAGAAAGGCCATTCCTAAGGCCACCAAGCAGGTCTTCTGGCGTATCACCCTCTTCTACGTCATCTCGCTCTTCCTCTTGGGTCTCATCGTTCCATCCGACAACGACAACCTTTCCCATGCATCTGGTGGCGCCACCCGTTACTCACCATTCGTTCTGTCGTTCCAACTTGCTGGCATCAAGATCCTTCCATCGATCTTCAACGCCGTGATTACTCTTTCTGTTATCTCGGTCGCCAACTCTTGCACATTTGCCTCGACCAGAACTATTCAGGCGCTCTGCGCTCATGGTATGGGTCCATCCATCGGTGCTAGGGTCGACAAGAAGGGTCGCCCATACATAGTCTTGATTGTTGTCCTCTTGTTCGGCTGTCTTGCCTACATTAACGAGGCTCCATCTGGAAGCACCATCTTCACCTGGCTGCTTTCCTTGTCTGGTCTTTCCAACTTCTTCACCTGGGGTTCCGTTTGCTACGCCCATATCCGCTTCCGAAAGGCTTGGGCCATGAATGGACGTACCACTGACGACCTTCCTTTTGCTGCGATGTTCGGTGTCGTTGGATCGTGGATCGGTCTTGGTCTCAACATCCTCTGCCTGATCGCCCAATTCTACGTCGCGTTGTTCCCTATTGGCGGCTCTCCTGATGCTCAGGTCTTCTTCGAGTCGTATCTTGCCGCTCCTATCGTCATCTTGTTCTTCGTTGGATACAAGCTCTACTACAAGCAGTGGTCCGTTGGCGTCAATCTTCAGGATATTGACATTGATGAAGGCAGACGTGAGGTGGATCTCGATGCTTTCAGAGCGGAGTTGGATGCCGAGCGCGCTGAGAAGAAGACTTGGCCATTCTGGAAGCGAACTTGGGATTTCTGGATGTAAGAAATGTACTCTGTAAATATATGCATAAAAGTGTGCCGGACTGCACGCGAAGGAGTTGGGAAGAGTCTGGATAGGAGACTGGAACAGGTGGATCATAGATCTCAAATATACCCCTTATTCATTCATCATTACAATGTTCGTGCAAATCTTAGACATGATGAAGGAGGCTGATGTCTGAAAATGGCGCGAGACGCGAAATCTAGAAATGGAAGGCGCACATCCCATCACGTGCCATCTCCAACTCACTGCGAGCACGTGATCCTTCAATGGTCTGGATTCCAATTTCATTTTCGTCTCCATTATTTTTATGGTTGTCCCTCATGCTATTAAATGCATAATGTGCGCAATGGCTATTCTAGAGATCCAAGTCTTGTGCTGGACTTTGAGGAAATGAGGAAGATCTCACATCTTCTAATCTCAAATCTAACAATAGCAAACCCTTGAAATCTCACCAAGTCATTTTCAGAAACATATAGACCTTTATAAACCCTAACAAAGCATTGTAAGTTTGATGCTGAAGACTGAAAAATGTCACCCGTTGCAAATTCTTGAAGTGGCCAGCCCAGCAAGCTCTTCATTCCTCAAAGCGAGCGAGCAAAACGGCACCGTTCCCAAATAAGGCGGCTAGCCGACGTCCGCACCGTTCCCAGAAGAGGGATAAAGATCTAAATAAGCAAAATTGTTGTCAACAAATTGACAAAGGCTTCTTAGTGTAATGGTAACATACCTCTTCTCCTTGTGGGGGAGAAGGAGACGGAGGTTCGATTCCTTCAGAGGTCGTTTATAAGAATATACAGCTTGCTTAGGCTTGGTGTTTCAATCTTCTCTTTTGTATTTTTATTTTTCTGTATGGTTACTGTCTTTGCAAAGTGAGAGACGTTTCTCTTTTCTATTTACCTTTTGATCTTATTGCGAGTACTTAATTATCGGAAATCTCCTTAACATGTTGCATTGTTTGAGCTGCTAGAAGAATGCGTTTAAGCGAACTTATAGAAATTGGTGCCGCACTCTTGTTGGGATTAACGTCTTAAAGTCCCCATATAACGTTGCTATCGCACAATTGACAAGTTGCCAAAATATACTAGATCCTTTGTTTGGCCCTTGACCTTAATACGGAATTCATTGTACAAAGCCAATAATGAACAAAAAACATACCTCATCGTCCTGCTGGATTCAATCTTGTCCCCTTCCAATAAATGACCGCACATTCGAAGCTCGCAATTTTTCACAAACAAAATGTATCCACACCTCTTTGGTTTTCAAGATGTCTTCGTTAGGGTCACAACGCTATTCTTCTTCAGCCTTCTCGCCGCTTCCCTCCTCACCCCCCATTCTATCCCACATCAATTCTTATCCATTATTCTTTTCAATTTCGGCATCAGCACTATCAGCATCACAAAACTCCTCTACTTCACCTTCCTCACCACTTTTCTCTTCAACCTCCATCGCACGCTCTATAGTGTCTTCGTTGCAACACTCTTTTTAATGAGCTATTTCCTTCCCGAATTTCAAAACTTGGCAATCTGGACCATTATCATCTCTGCGATCCTCTTCGCTTTTGTACTGAAAGCAGCTCTGTCGGTATAATCACGTGGACAGGATAGGGCTAGGCGGCATTCGCCGGCACTAGTCCGTATTCGGCAGTCAGGGAAGCATAAGAGCTTCCTTCCACCTAGAACCTCTTAGAATGAACAACCTATTGCAAACCCATAAGAACTTAGAGTATACTCTCTGAATAGGCTCACACCCTGTGAAACCTACAAGCTCAGTTCATGTATACAATATGGCATGTAAAGCGAGGATTCCATACATATAAAAGCATAAAAGCTATTATATTTCTCGCTTTTTGTATTGGGTTATTTACTCTCGTATTTGTGTCTGTTAAGTTATACAAGGTTGTCCCAGATACGCGCTACTTGAAGCCTCTTATGGAATATACAAAGTTTGTTGAAAGCTTCGAATCATTTGCAGAGGGACTAAATAATTGAGATTGAGAGTTAGTGGGTTTGGATAGACTGGAACATGTGTAGGACAATGAGTTTTCGTCCTAAATTTCCAATTTCAGGTTTTCTAGGATTGCGTTACCAATGTTTACAAGAGGTTGAAAAGATATTCTTTACCATTCTCTTATTATTCTCATAGGCAATTGGACTGAGTGAGATGGATGGCGTGGATGGAAAAGAAGTTGTTACGCTATCTTTGATTCTAATTTCATGCTCTTAGGTATAGTACTCTAGCGCATAGTCACATTAACTAAGTTTTAGAATAGGCTCATGGTACGCTATAAAAGATACTACTTAATTAATGGGCCTAAACACTATAGAACTACCTATATTTGATGCAGATATTCATATCCCTTAACCCAGTTATGTTTTTCTCACATTTAATAGTTTCATTCATTGTTTTGCCTTTTTGGCAAGAATAGGCTTTAGACGTTTGCAGAAAGACTCGAGGCTTTTGTCTTTCATGCTGCTTGTTCTTTATTAGCATACATTCATAAAATCTAGAAATCCAGGTATACCCGATCACAAGCATTCATACCTAAGTACCAAAAATTAAAATTATCGATCGTACCTAAAAATTAACCAATCCTCTCCCACAAAATGACAACAGAAGTCGCTAATGGAGGCTTTGTGTTCCTAGTTGTTATAGTCATGATCTGGCTTGGCTATTATTTATCATCCAAGTATTTCATGGAACTGGATTTCACAACGCTTTATTACATCATTATCGGCTTCCTCCTAGCCGCCTTAATCGGAACCGACAATCATTTAATACCATTCCAATTCTTCTGGGCCACCATTTTGTTCACTGTCACTTGGCGTATAGCCGTAAAGCTCTACGATATGGGTATTGAGAGAGGGGCCGCGGAGTCTAATCTTCGGAAAGAAGATCGCAAACCAAAACCACTCCTCAACATTCTCTGGTTATGTGTCTGTATTCTCGCTCAAGGGAGTATTGCGTGGCATTGTATCCTAGACACTATAGAAGCTGTCGATCAAAATACAGCGGTTGTCAAGAAAAAACCGTGGTACTCCTGACCCCCGCATATTGTGTCATCGATGTAGGGATTGAATTCTGGATTTGGGTGTCAGCTTGTGTATCATAAATTTCAATTTGCTTTCAAAGTCGCTCAATCGGGAGCTAGTGCTTTATAAGGACAAAATAACGGTTAGCGCTGCCACTTTCCCGGCCTAACCTCCGCCTCTCCGTGCGTAGTCTAAGCTTTTTAAAGGTTGCCTAGCCTTTTTCTAGCCCGTCGAATTAAACTTCCTAGCCTTGCTTGTGGATTAGCTAAGCTAGGTTAGGAAAGGATAATTTACTAGGGGTAAAAAAGGAGGTAAAAAAAAGGGCGGGTACACGTGCTTTACCTCGTTATAACGCACGTACTTATTTCTCGAAGGGATTTATATAATTTCCGAGATGAAGACATTACTTCGTTAGCTTTTCTACTTTTGCTTGGAATACATATAAGCCTTGCTTAGCCTCGCCTAAAGCTTGTTTTAAGTTGCCTTCCTTTGCCTAGCCTGTAAGTCCACCTCTCCTTACTTAGCTTTGGTCCAGGCTAAGGCTAGGCTGGGATTTTGGCAGCGCTGATAACGGTTGTTGGTGAACGAAAAGTAAGGCATGTCAGTATTATACTCTAAAGGTGCCAAAGATTCAGGCCTACTCCAAACTTTAGCCCTGCCGTTTTACATACTGGTGTTCATATATTTATCAGGGTTCTCAAAAACCCAGCCAAGAAACGCCTTCCTCCGCTTTTCCTGCTCCTTCCCTTGCATAGCCTAGAATTTTTGAGGTCAGCCTAGCCTTCTCCTAGCCAATGGAATTGCTCCTCCTATTCTAGCCTATAGGTCGGCTAGGCTAGGCTAAGAGGGTAGATTTAGTAAGGGGTGAAAAGGAAGTAAAAAGGGGTGAAAATAGGGCACGTGCTATTGTCTCGGGAAGATTTTTTTATAATTTCCGAAGCTAAAACACTTACTAATAGTAGCCTTGCTTGCCTTCCTACTTTTGCCTAGGATATATATGCGCCTTGCCTAGCCTTGCCTAAAGCTTATTTTACGTTGCCTTCCTTTGCCTGGCCTGGGGGTTAGGTTAGCCTATCCGGCCCTAAAGCCTGGCTGAGGGAGGGCTGGGTTTTTGAGAGCCCTGATATCTATATTAATTCAAAGCTACCAACTACCGAAGACATTATCAGCTTACCTTACCATATTGTCCTTTTATTACTGTTTTTGCTATCCTTCCTATTTCTTCTTCTATGGCATCTTCTTCATACATTCCATGTGTAAAGATTTATCTATCCGCATTTTTCGCAAATTCTGTGATAAGGTTTTTGTATTGGCCTGACCTGCTCCCTGGCCAGCACAGAATCTCAACTCAAGAACCACAATACTCACAAAACCAATCTTCGTAGAGGCTGTGGTATGAATATGACGAGGCCAATAGTTTTTCCCGCTCTATGAATAAACTTTCAAATGCGTCTCAATTTCTCAACGGATATCGCAACTAGAACAAAGTCTTGGTGCCAAATATTATTACAAGAGAAGAGGATGAGCAGGAAGATGAAGGTTATATACAGTAAATGCTTCCCCATTATATGGCGCATACATCACATTCCACTCTCCGGAAAGCAATGTACGCTCAACTTCAGAAGATTTTCCGACGAGTCGCGTATTTCTAACGTGTATTCACTTATTCAACCTTCCGTCACCTCAAGCCTATAAAATCTCAGCAACGCTGATCATAACCTTCCCCAATCGATTCTACAAAGTAACATAACGAACTCGAAGTCTAGATCAAGAACTTGAAAATAACAATGGTAGCCTTTCACCACCGCATCCTCTTCCTCTTCGCCACCTTCTTCCATCAAACCATCACCGCTTCCTACAACCTCTGGTTCAACCCGGGCGCTCCCATCGCACTTGTAAGCCAACATTATTTACCCAAGCTCCCCTCCCCATCCCTAAATCACCGCTAACAACCCCCTCAAGTTTACCTCAACCCTAACTATCCCTCCCAATTCTCCCAACCCGAACCCCAACAATGACCAAGCAGTCTGGAGCGGTCTCCAACCCTCCTCTGCAGCCGTTGTTCTGCAAAACGTAGTTGATAACGATGCAGGTGGACCAGAGAATTTCGGTTCTTGGTATCTGCAGCCTCAGATTTGTTGCTCGTGCGTCTTCCTCCATCTCCTACCCCCCAAAAACGTTCTTGGTAAAATATGGCTAATGGTTATTATTGAAGGCCTTTTACGCAGTTGGGTGGTACTATACAAGGTGAGTGGGTGGTGTTCATTCTCATGAAATCGAGCATAATATGAACGAAGAGAAGAAGGGAAAAGGAAAGGGAGAGAGAAAAATCAATACTAACAGAGTGAAATGAAGTATACCCAGGCTCCACCCTCCAGTCAACCTACTTCCTCAACCCATCCAACGGCCAATATACAAATGATTGGTACTATGTCCCTGGTCCCGCAGGACAAGGCTCGACATTCGCTAGTTCCGCGGTCGTGGATCCGAGTACCCTACGTTCGTCCCCCCCATACACCTCCCCCTCCCCCTCCCCTCCCTTCTCTTTTCAAAATGCTTTTAATATCGATGTTTATCTATGATGTTAATGCACATACTGATGCTGATGATAGCGGGACGCGAACCATTCACCCAAGCCCTCTTCAGCATCGAGATCCAAGGTTCGCTCGGAGCATGGGATTTCGGCCCCGTGGTCTGGAGCGCCGTTAGTATCACGGCTCAGACGACAGATACGGGTTGGTGTAACTCGTA